TGGATTCTGATAACTAGTGGCAGGCTTTGAACTGATATATGGTTGCTAGCCCTGCTCTGCATTTTGAGTTGTGAGGTGCTTTTCAGGGCTTGTGCTTTGGTATGGTTTCAGGATTCTGAAATACTTCTTTTTTGTTATTTTTATGCAGCATAGTTCTGCACCTGATGGATTCCTGGCATGCTGTGTATTTTATACTTTTTATGGGGCGTAAATGCATGGAGTCTATCCAGTTGTGTGCATTGTGGCCAGATTTAAGATTGAGAAGATTTAGAGGATAAAATTAATGTTTTTAGTTAGATTGCAAGCTGGTTAGGTTTAGGCATCCTCATTCATTCTTTATTCTGTGAATTTCAGAAGCATAAGTGTAGTAAATGGCATTTACACATCCCTAATATGTATTTTGGTACCTGTCATAGAATGATTATAATGCAGTTGCTGACAACTGTGCTGTTATATAGATTTTTGTTGTATGACATGCTCATGTATTGTAGCATTGCAAGCATTAAGTTTTGGTGTATTAGAACATTTATATAAAAAGATGCCATTCCAGCCAGTTTAATAGTATTGAACAGAAGCTTTCAGGGTAATTACTGTCGCTTCTGCAGCCTTGGTCAGGCAATTGTCTGATAATTATCTAGCAAATCTGACATTTATGTGCCCAATCCTGAAGAAAGGATAGTGATTATCCTGAAAGCTCCCATTCAACACAAGGAAGCTGGCTTAAGTACTATCTTTATCACAGTTACTATGTCCTAGTTGAATATCATCTCCAAATGTAAGTAATGATATACCTTCCATATGTATTTTATGTCTTGATGTATCTTGTGTATCAGGTATCCTCATCAAAATTTAAAATTAATTTAGTCAATTTGTATAATTAGACAGGACTAATGTGTAACTGTTGTGTGCCAAATGTGCATCTTAATTTTAGGAACCATATTTTTCTGGTGCTTGCAGGCTAACATTTCAACTGGAATTTTCTTCACTTTCTTGTTTCTGTCCTCTTGTAGGCCATGGAGGATATCCTTGCAGACAGGCATAGCAAAGGAGACCTTTGCTGGGTTCTGCAGCAGTGCAATGTGCAAGATAAGGATTTTTCTCCCAAACTTTTGGACTCTTCTTTGCTGGATTGCATCCACAAGGACCCGGGAGTCATAGATGAAATGATTAAGGTACAGTAAAGTTTTTCACAGCAAAATATATGCATTGTAGCAAAAATATGGAGTACTGTGATGCCATCAAGTGTGCTATCAGTTAGCAATATATCATAACCTATGTATATATTTGCAGTGAAAGTGTGCCTGCTAAAAATGCATTCACATGTGCCACTTAATTGTGGCCAGCATTATGTATCTTGTAATCACAGAGTTGTGTATTCTTGCAAATCCACAGAATTGTGTGTCAATTCAGGCCTGACTCCTCCAGGTCTTTGTTGGGGCATTGAGGCTGGTTTTACATAGACTCTCACTGTTAAAATGCTACACTGCTGCAGTTAATGAGCCATATGATGCTTAGTTTGGATTGTGGTTTGCTGTCAGTTGGTACTGATTGTGTGTTCATTTATCATTGACATATTGACACCATGCCAACAGCTGTCTCCAGCTGAGAGGCAGGAAGCACACCGCCAAATTGATGACATTTTCCGCGAAATGCATCACAACTTCAGTGTGGGATCTATTCGAAGGATTGGCTTTTCATTGGCCAAGATCTTTAAGCAGCTGTATGACCACATCTACGTGGACTCTGCCGGTGTAAAGCAGGTTTGTGCAGTAATTAAATGCAGGCATTGCATGCTTAGTTAGACACTGTGCAGCAACATGACTGGTGAGCATACAGGCCAAGGTGGTTGGATTGCAAGGGTCTTGTGCATGCCTCATGTTAACAACTTCCCACGCCTAGGTGTATATGCCGCCCGAACTACATAGCTCTCGGCCCGAGACGGTGGATAGGAGACCATCTGTGCGACTGGAGCGCCCTCTCGCGACCGTCGTCGTCGAGCGTGGTCTGACGCGTGTGGTCCGAGGTCTCCAGGTCCGCTCACTAGCAGCCGGCGTGCCGACCCTGTACCTGCCGACGCATCGCAGCTACGTGGACTTTCTGCTGGTGTCTTTCATCTGCTTCCACTACCGCCTGCCGATGCCAGTCATTGCCGCCGGCATGGGTCAGTTCCGAGGCTTTGGGGCGCCCCCCTCGCCCCCAGCCGTGCGGACTTCGGCTCGCTGTTGGCATGTGACGCTGCGCGACCGACGTGAGTCGTGTACGGAGACAAATCTTGGAATTGCGCGTGTTGAACCGTCTTGAAGTGGCTGTGAACGTGAGAGACCCAGTTTGAGCCATGCTGTGGTGCCATGCGATTTAGCATCTGCATAAAATGAGCTTGTGTTGTGGACTGTTTGATGTGCTCCCTACAAGACTTAATAGTGTTACCGCCAGCCTTCAAGTCGATGCTGTGGCTGGGCTGACTGTCATGCGATCTGACCACCAGACTTCAAGTCGATGCTGTGGGTGGGCGAGCTCCTGCGTAATTGTGGCGCGTTCTTCATCCGGCGCCGGCTGGCTGGTGACCGGCTGTACGCCGCCGTGCTGCGCGCTTACGTTCAGTGTCTGGCGCTCACCAGTCCGCGGCCGGCCGAGTTCTTCGTGGAGGGCACACGCAGCCGCTCCGGCAAGCCGCTGCCGCCACGCACCGGTCAGTCGTCGGTGGGGGGAGGGGGGGGGGGGGGGCATCGGTCGGCTGCTACTGTGCTGTTCTCATCGGCGATGGGGGTGTGGTCGGATGACTCTGGAAGCATCTGGCGGCGGCCGCCTGGACTGCCAAGCAGCGTTCCAAAATTGATCCAGTAGGGTGTGTGAGGGGCTCATGAGGTGCGAGAACAGATTCATACTACCAAAATTCTGTCTCCCTCATAATTCTGGCGCGCCCTGTTCGTTGGCTGCTAATCCGTTGCATTTTGACCCCGAACCCTGACATCTGACCTGTCCAACGGCCTGTACGTACCTGGTCGGAGTACTGAGCTCGAGGCGCCTGGATGCTGGTTTGACTGCCGCCCTTTTAATGCTGATTGGTCCATCGTGAGGGGCGGGGGAGGAGCAATTGACGGTAAATCCCGCGTCGCGGTTAGACGGAATGGACAAAGTATCGACATCTCTGGCACCCACGTGGCCGAATATTGAGAGATCGCGGTGCCACCCCGCTGTCGCTTCGCACGTGTTCCACGTTTGGACGGGAGGCCACGAGCTGGCGCTGTCGGGGACGCATGAGGGGGGTTGGACACCCGAGGAGCACACGGCCTGGGTGTCCGCCTCCTCGCCTCCGGCAAATGGGGCGCCAGTCGGCCGCACAGCTGAGGCTGCTGCGCTGCTGGCTTTGCCTGGGTGTGTCTAGTGGGCGTGTCGTCCACCGCAGCTGGTGGGCGTCCACCGCCGCGGCTCTGTCCGGCCCCGACACCGGCTGTCGAGTGTCCACCAGGGATCGGCACCAGCCGACCTGGAGGTGCCGAGGCGGAGGTGCCGGAGGTCCCGGAGACGGACGCCGGCCGCGACGTCGCGTCGAGGTTGTGCCGACGTGTCCTTAGCCGGGGAGTCTACGGGGAGTCTAGCCTACGCTGTCTTCGCTGGGCAGCTGACAGTACAACGACGTCCGCTGGAGGTGTCCACGGCCACCGCCGTCCACGAGGTATGACAGCCGCTCCCTGATAGGCACACCAAGTGACGGGCGCTGTGCCGTCCCCCCCCCCCCCCCGACCCCTCTGTCGGTGCAGACTACGATGGGACCTTCAGCACGGCCGAGGTGCTCCAAGAGGCGGGCTGAGAGCCGAGCGGAGCGCGACCATTAAGCTGGAGGCTCGGAAACTGGAGGCTCGGAAGATGGAGGCTCAGAAGATGGAGGCTCGGAAGCTGGAGGCCCAGAAGATGGAGGCTCGTAAGCTGGAGGCTCAGAAGATGGAGGCTCGGAAGCTGGAGGCTCGGAAGTTGGAGGCTCGGAAGTTGGAGGCTCGGAAGCTGGAGGCTCGGAAGCTGGAGAACCTGCCGGTCGTGCCCGCAGCGCGTGCACCTCCTTTATTGGCTCGTCTCGTCTGGCGTGCCCTCTGTCGGCGCCTGGTCTCGTTTGCCGCTGTCTGTGCGCTTCGTCTGTCGTGTCCTCTGTCGGTACGTAATGAGTTCTGTCGGCACGTACCGCTCGCCGTTCTCTCTGCCAGCGAGGGTCACCCCACGTGTCCTGTGTGGACACGTGTGGTCTGACTTGCCCCGTATGGCCGCGTGTCGGCACGTGTCGTCGCATTTTCTGTGTACTGGCACGCGTCGGGCGACACGCCCTCTGCAGGCACGTGTCGTCTGCTGCCCCCAGGCTGCAGGCGTGGTCTGTCGACTGGGTCTGCACGTGTCGACCACGTTGCCGGCGTCCGCGGTTGTTCGTTGGCGGTGTCGGCATGCGTAGTCTATTCTCCGTCTCTGTACGGCGCCCGCTGTGTTATGCGACCACCGTCGAAAACTCCAAACTGGGCGACATGAACGAAAAGTTGGGACGAACGCTCCTGGGCAGATTTCGTTCCTGGAAGCAGGACTCCCTGGAAATTTGCTTGCACCCGAATCCTGTCTTCTGTGTGGGATGGCCTCAAATGCCGCTTCTCCTTTGCACTTCGCGGAATAGTACGGTGCGGTCGGGCACGCTAATCACCACTCATTTCCTGTTTGGGCCACAAACATGCACGGTTTAAGCAGTGGGGATACCCACGCACTGGTACGATGCGTGCGCTTTGAACCTGACCGTTAGCTGTTATTACGACAGGGTACGGTAGCTGTTAATGCGATAGGGTACGTGACTAGGCTATTACTGTAGGGTATGCCAATACCCTACAGTAATTGTCATGAGTCCTGCTGTCATTCTGTATGGCGGCACGCTACTGCCAGCACCTTGCGTCTCGAGATGAGTTGCTGGTCACCGTGGTAGCATTTCACAAAGGAGTGGCTTCCCCTCCCAAAAAAACATACACAGAACACTATGCTTCAGTCATGTATGCAACAAGAACACCAGCAGCATATAGTTTCACAATCTAAGCGTGCTGGAACTACTTGAAAATTGGTCGGGAAACATTTTCTGGAAAAAATTGTTCTTCCCCGGATTGATCATTGTTATTTGGTCGTCTGGGTGACCCGCACGGCCCCGCGGACATATCGCGCTGATTATTCGTCACTCCACTGTAACTAGATGTTGTGCGCCAGGCCATTCACCACCCCTGCGTCTTTTCCGCCACCCTGCTACATACTTAACTCTGAACACCCCTTCCTTGTTAGCTTTCGCTCCCCCTCGCCACCTGAGTCGCCAGAGCGTAAGCTGGCGCCAGCCGGGCTCGAGCGGCACACAAGAACCAGCTGTCCAGCGGCCAGTGTCGTCCACGTGTCAGGTGTCGGCGCGGGGGCTGCGGGGCGTGGCGAGCCTCGGCCGAGCGTCCCGCCGCCGCCGGTCAGCGCCAGAACTGCTGGGACCGGCCGCCGCCGGTCAGCGCCAGAGCTGCTGGGACCAGCCGCCGCAGATCAGCGCCAGAGCTGCTGGGACCAGCCGCCGTCGGTCAGCGCCAGAGCTGCTGGGACCAGCCGCCGCCGGTCAGCGCTAGAGCTGCTGGGACCAGCCACCGCCGATCAGTGCCAGGGCTGCTGGGACCAGCCGCCGTCGGGTCGCGAGCCGGCCGCGGTGCTCGGGCACAGCTGCTGGCTGCACTTGAGCAGTTGCAGACTGGACTGCGGCTCGGCCCCGCCGTACTGCTGCCCGTCGGCGTCGACGCAGTAGCAGAAGAGGCCGCGGCACTGGTACGGCCGGAAGTCGCCGTTATCGCAGCACTGCGGCAGGTCCGTCATCTGGCCGGCCGACTGCATGTGGTAGGAGGAGCGGGCGCAGTTGCAGGTCATGCTGACGGCGGCGGCGCTACTGCGTGGCACCGTGTAGTGAAGGTCGGCGCCCTCCGGTGTCACACACGTCTGCCCCGTCTGCGTTACCTGCCGGCCCGGACCACCGCGGTCATGGGCGGCGAGGCAGACATGCTGGGACAAAACTAACCTTCCCATGGCTGGAGCTAGACGTCACCTTTTTGTAGCACTAGCCTGAGTTTGTTGGGTTCCCTTCTTTGGTAGTGGTGGTGGTGCTACGTGCTAGTTTGAACAGTTTCCGATGCGTGCGCATCGGACATTGCTTGCGCATCTTCAATTTACGATGAGCCCCCCCCCCCCCCCCACACTTCCATCGCCACCGGCACTCTGCGATCGTCTCCAGAGCTCAAGCTCTGTCTCTGAGGGAGTTGGTGGTGGCAGACCCGCGCCGCGTCATGAGTCGATAGGCAATAACCGATAATACGCCGGATGTGGAGGAGCACTGCCACGCTGAGTCACTCTGCTACACGGATGTCTGTGAGTGAAGAGTGCACGAACGCCACTGGAGTGCGCGCGCGAGCGGTTGCTGGCGATGACCATCCGCACTGTTGTCACCTGGTGCTGAGAAACACTGGGCTCCCGGCCTCCGCACCTACGTCTGCTGTGGTCATGAGTTCCCAATTACCCGCCAGCTGCAGAAGCGAGGCAACCGAACCCCACTCCGCAGCCGTATGTCGCTGCCCCGCGCGCAGCCGTCCGGTCCTGAGGCGGTCCCGACACGCCCGCGCGCCGGCGTCGCCTCCCCCCCCCCCCTCCCCCCTGTCACCGTCACCGACCTGGACCTTGTCGAAGAAGCCGCCGATGTCGCAGCGGGGCGGCTCGGCGCCGAGCAGCGAGAAGCCCTGCTGTGCCCAGTCGGCGCGCTCCTGCTCCAGCTGCTGCGCGGCCAGCTCGCACGGCTTCAGGTAGTCCTTGCGGTGGATGGTGGCGTTGAAGCACGGCAGCAGGTCCTGCTCGCGGGGGCGCGGTGTCAGACGCCCGACGCGAGGGGGCTAAAGGCTCTGCTGCAGCGATAGTACAGCTATACAGGCTACACGGGCTGTACAGCAGCAGTCGTACAGCAGCTATATAATCATGGGAAAATGCAAGCTGTTAAAGAATCAGATCATGGGGTAAGTGGTACGAACTATGAACCAATGTGGTTCAGCCTATCAGCCCTGTGGTATGAAGTTGGCGCTTTCAAGTTGACGGACAGGTGCAGGGGAGCGGTGTGCAATATGGGAAGTGAGAAGGGAGATGCTATGTCTGCGACCATTCCGCCCGGCGACGGTCACCGCCGCCACAGACTCGGCGCGCCGCGCGCGCTCGACCGACCTTGAACGGCCGGCTGGCGATCACCGAGGTGATGGTGCCGTTCGTCTGGTCGACGCAGAAGCAGGTGGCGTTGCTGCACTGCAGCGTGTCGAAGTTGCCGTCGGTGAGGCAGTGCGGCCGTGGCCCGAGGCCCTCGACGTCGGTCTCGGCGTAGTGGAGGCGCGCGCACTGGCAGCCCATCGTGGCGTCTTCCGTACTGCCGCGCTCGCCGTACAGGCGCTCGCCGTCCTTGGACCAGCAGCTGGTGGTGAGGCCGGGCATCCGCTGCGCCGGCAGGTAGGCGCCGTCGGCGTCGCAGGCGGGGCGCAGCCTGCCCGGGATCAGCTCCTTCAGCGCGTCCCGGTCGTAGGCGCTCTGCGCGGCCGCGCAGGCCGTCTGCGCGATGGGCGCGCAGAAGGCCGTCTGGCCGCTCAGCTGGCAGGAGAGGCCCGGCCCGCACAGCTGCCGCGGCAGGTCGCCGAAGCTGTTGATGTTGCTGATGTCGCACTCGTCGCCCTCGGGCTGCGGGAGACGGCGCCGGGCGGCGGTCACGGCGGGCTGATGAGGCGACGCCGGCGCCGGCGGCCGCGCGTCCCTGTCACCGCTCCGGACGCTGTGGGGCCCGTCCGGGTGTGTTGGCATGCGACCGGACTGATGCCACTCGGCCGTGTCGGCTCTGTCCTTGTCGTGGGCAAAGGCGATGGATTGACTGGACCGGCATAGCATTGGACATCGTTACTCGACTGTCAAGATAACACCCGCTGTCGCATTCACGATGAAGTTAACGAAATGGGTGCGACTTCCACGGGCATTCTTCTTCAGTGTCGTACCCTACGCGAGTGTGTGTGTGTGTGTGTGTGTGTGTGTGTGTGTGTGTGTGTGTGTGTGTGTGTGTGTGTGTGTGTGTGTGTGTGTGTGTGTGTGTGTGTGTCTGTGTGCTCCCCCAGTTGCCCCTCACCTGGAAGTCGATGCAGCGTGTGCAGCAGTCGCAGGGCTGGCGGGGGCTGACCACCTTCAGCTGGGAGGCGGTGCAGTTAGTGCTGGGGCAGTTGGCGCCATTCGGGTCGTCGCAGCAGACCACCGTGGCGCACGTGCTCTCCGTGCAGTTGAAGTCCTCGCCGGTGGCGGCGCAGAGCCCGGCGCCGCCAGTCAGCGCCAGCGCCAGCGCCAGCAGCGCCCGCATGCCGGCAGGGAGGGGGACGGGAGCGACGCTGGCTGGCGCTCGGCGTCTGTGAGCTCCGGTCGGTCAGCGGTGGCAGCGGCGGCCGGGAGTCCACGCCCGCCGCGCGGCGCGCCTGTGGTCGGACGGACAACGGAGTCCCTGGTGCTGCACCGGCAGCCGCTGACGTCGGCGCTCGTCCGCTCAGTCGCTCCCGCTCAGCTCCCACGCTCTCGCCGCCGTCACTATCTGAGCGCCTGTCTGCCGGAGCCGCGGCTGCTATCGGGGCGGACCGATACGCGTCGAACAACGGCGATGCTGGTGCCGTCGTTATCTCGGGAGGGAGCGCTCATGAAAATGACGTCATGGCTGGATTAGCGGCGCCTTTCGCTGCGCTCCGATCAGGGTTATCGGGATGATTGGGCAACGACATCGGGTGTCGGCGTGGTGGTTTGCTGGTCGAACTCCTCTTGGGTGGGTCAGAGACACCCTTTCGATTCGAATCCCCCGAAAAGCGCTCACATTCCCCAGTGGTAAAGACTGGTGTTTGTCGCGGGCTCTTTCGTCGCGATTTCGTGTAGGGTTTAACATTGCACCACATTTCGTTAGCTAGTGTCCGCGATGCAATGGCGCCGAATTTGGAAACGATTGGCAGCAAGTGTCACGATCACGACGGCAAGCTTGGCGAGTTGAAATCTCATGCCAGCGCTTGGTGCTTCAAATGCCTAATTATCATCCTGTTCACCGTTGCTTACATAGTATAGTAACCGAAGTCATCTCGAACGTGAGATATTGCGGCGCGGCCTGTGCGTGACGACTGTCAGTACGCTTCTGTCTGTTGGTGATCGACCTTGCCGCGTGTGTTCTGCCCCAGGGTCGATGCTAGCACGCTCCATGCCATATGGCACGACCATGGCAGTGCACGCTCGTGCACTGGCATGGTCGTGCCGTGGGCTCGATAGAAGCGCGCCGATGCCCTAAGTTTTACGCCTGAGCGCGTGTCGCAGGTCTGCTGTCGGCCTACCTGGAGCTGTTCCATGCCGGCCGCATTCCCGATCTGCAGATCGTGCCTGTCACCATCAGCTACGAGCGCGTGCTGGAGGAGAACCTGTACGCCTACGAGATGCTCGGCACGCCCAAGCCCAGGGAGTCGACCGGCGTGAGTGGCGGGCCGACCCCAAACGGGGGGGGGGGGGGGGGGGACGCGGCGGCCGTGACCTCGGCTCGAGTCACCGCCCGGCGCCGGTCTGTCACCGTCCAGTCAGTCGTTGAGATATTGTTGATGACATGTTTCTGGCAGTCGTGCCGAGGCTCCTCGCACCGACCTGGCCGCCCCGGTCTCGTTGCGCGCTTCAGCGGAAAGCTTACCTTTTCGCGTAAGGCTTTTTACCATCGGCTTTTTTCTACCGATGCTCTGTCACTCCTGACTGGTGTTCCGACGATGGCACTCGTCTAAGATTTGCCTGACAGACGGGTCAGAGTTAGTCTGACTGCTGCTAACTGCTATTGGGAGCTTTCAGTTTGACCATCAACACACGCGTCGACTGAAGTAAGGTTTTGCCGTCATTTCGTTGTCATGAGGTGGTGTGATTTGGTGCCCAATGTGTTTTTCTATTCCGATTTTAACGTTATGAAATTTTCAAATTCAGTTTTCTTCCAAGTAAAAGAGTGCCAACGCCTTTTGGTGCCTTCTTATTTCGAAAGAAATTGCATGTATATATATATATATATATATATATATATATATGTACATTTGCCGTTTCCGCCATATCGGCCGCGCCCCCCTGCCGGCTGACAAGTGTCCTGTCCCGGCAGCGTCTGGTGCGCGCTGTCAGCGTGCTGGCGGAGAACTACGGATCGGTACACGTGCGCCTGCTGGGCGTGCACCAGCTGCGCCGTCTGGCGGCGGTACCGCGCAGCTGCCGGCTGGCGGCCGACGTGCTGCGCTGGCAGCTGGCCGGCGGACGGCTGGGCGCCGGCTGCCTGCTGCTGGCGGCGCTGCAGCTGCTCGGCGGCCGCGCGCAGCTGGAGCAGCTGGTGGCGACGGCCGGCTTCCTGGGGCGGCAGCTGGTCGTCGTCCGGCCTGCCCTCCTAGTCGAGGGTGCGATGCGAGAGAGATGTCGGGAGACGGTTCAGCCGCCTGGGCTCGCCTGTTTCGTCGCTTATCCTCGGCTCCCGATGTTTCGGATCTTGGTTTCGAAAGGGAAAACAAATTGGCGCCGTTGCCTCGCTTCGTCTCTCCTGACAAAATTTCCCAAGTCAACGCTTTCTCTCATTAGTGTAGAATAGCTGTAGCTGCTTACGGTTTAGCAAGGACCCGTATGAGTCCAATGAATGTCTTAGATACGTGCCGATTCGTGCTGGAGAACCCTGCCCCTTTGGCGGCTTGTCTGAACCGAACCATCCCAGCTGGCCTAGTCCGTGCCCCCCGCCTTGACCTCTGCCCCAGTTTGTGCCCTGCTGACCTAACCTGCGCCTCCCTGACTAACCTGTGCTCCTTAACAACCAGCGCCTGTTTCCTCCGACATGACCTGTGCCCCCTGAGGACCGGCACTTGTTCCCTCTGACATGACCTGTGCCCCTGACCTAACCTGCACCTGTTCCCTCTGACATGACCTGTGTCCCCTGACCTAACCTGCACATATTCCCTCTGACATGACCTGTGTCCCTGACCTAACCTGCACATATTCCCTTTGACATGACCTGTGCCCCCTGACCTGACCTGCACATGTTCCCTCTGATATGACCTGTGCCCCCTGACCTAACCTGCACCTGTTCCCCCTGACGTGACCTGTGTCCCCTGACCTAACCTGCACCTGTTCCCCCCGACATGACCTGTTCCCCTGCCGCTGACCCGGCGTCTGCCTGAACCGCGCCCCGCTGACGCCCGTGTCGCCGTCCCGGCAGCGGTGGAGGCCGGCTCGGTGCGGCGCGTGTTCCACGTGCACCACCGGCTGCTGCGGGTCAGCGCTGGCCACCAGGTGGAGCTGCGACCACCGGCGCCGGGCGACGGCGCCCATCGCCAGACACAAGGTCAGTCTGTCCGACCGGGCCGGACGGCGGCGGGCGCCGGCAGAGGCGGGGAGAGAGCCTGGTGGGAGGGGCAGCGTAGGGAGGGCAGGAGGAGGCGGCGGGCGAGGGGGCGTGGATCAGAGTCAGTTATAGAAACGATGCCATTGAGTCCCGACGCCGCTGGTGCTGTCCTGAAGGTGCTGCACGTGCACGCCACCATGTGTTTCTGGGCGGGAGCATCCACAGATCTCCCCGTTGAGGATACGCAGATGTCGGCCGAGTCTTGTGCTCAGCTTAACCAATCCCGAGGCGTTTCACCGCGTTCCAACGATGTCCGACCTAAGCAAAGATTGGGCCGGGATTGCTTGATACCAGTGGGGGCGTCGAGCGTCGTGAGCCAGACGGTTACAGCTGTGCAGCCCAGAGGTGAAGGAAACGCCTGTTTTCATGTATTTTTGGGCATATATATATATATATATATATATATATATATATATATATATATATATATATATATATATGCCGTGCCTGCATGCGCGCGTGCGTGCGTTTGTGTGCGTTTGCAACATGCATTGCCTTGTCCCCCGCGATCGCGGACCACACGTGCCACCATGGGTCGGCTACGCCTGCTGGTCTCAGTCAGCACGGGCAAGGACCTCGCTCCGCCCGTCCCGCGCCGGTCGCGAGCTGAGAGTGTCGCTCCGGCAGGCGCCCGGCTGCGGGAGCGCACGCTGGCCGTGGTCGTGCCGCGCGTGCAGCTGCAGTTCTACGTGAACGCCCTGCTGCCGCACATCGCCGGTCTGGCGCTGGGGCGGCTGGCCGCTCAGTCCGGTGAGAGGGGGCGGCGAGCGGCGCCGGCGGCGGTCGCTGACGTGCGCGCTGCGCTGATGGGGCGCGCGGAGGTGCGCCGCTTGGGCAGGCACAGGCAGGGCGCGTGTAATGGGTGCTGTCAGCCGGCTGGTTCGGGTTTCTGCGCGCCGGCGTGTTTGCGCCGTGGCACTGCGGCTGCGCTCGGACAGCGCTGGTTGTCAGCTTGCCGCCTCCGAGCGCTGCCGCGGTCTATGTCTCCGCGCGGCGCGCAGCCATCACACGCGACGCCCTGGCGCGGTGCTGCGTTTCGCCCACACGCCGTGGGCCGATCTGTGAAGGCGTTCGACTGTGCAAGGTCTCTGGGCGATGTCCCTGAAGGCGAGCGGCGCTGTGCGCTCTGGCGACGCGGCGCCAGCTCAATGCGTTCCGCTGTGCGCTCCGATGGCGCGACGCTAGTTGACTGCGCTCCGCTGTGCCGCTTAGCCACCGTGGACCTGCGCCAGCTGCTGTTCTCCCTGATGGCGGTGGAGTTCCCGACGCTGGAGGGCTGGGACGCGCCCGATGAGCCTGCGCTGCCGGACGCCAGGTGGCGCGACATGGCCGCCGGCCTGCTGCGGCCGTACCTGGAGGCGTACCGGATCGTCATCGGAGTCATGCTGGTCAGTCAGCCGGCGGCCGGGCGCGCGAGACCGGCGGCGACGTCGGACCGCCCGGCTGCAGCAGGTGCCAACACAGGCGGGTTGGCGACGTTGGCGCCAGCGCGTGTGCCGCCCCCCCCCCCCCCCCCATTGGGAGAGGTATGGCAGGCTGCCTCCTCACGTTGGTCAGAGCGGCCGTTGCCAACCGCACCGAACAGGCCATGTGTCTGACGGGTTGTTCTCGTCGAACTAGACGTCAATCTGCGGCAAATATGTGGGCGTCGCTGTTCAAGGGTAAGAGCCTTGTCTGGGGACCAAATGGAGCTGTACATGTTGCCTGTGCTCCGCTGTCGGGCGTACCGCCTACCCCACCTGTGTTGGCCCGCCGCCGGTCGGCGGGTGACGTGGCCGGCCGCCGCCCGACAGGACTGGCTGCCGGAGGACGCTGCGCCGGACCGGATCCAGCGGGAGGTCGAGGCACGCTGTGACCCGCACCATCCGGCCGCCCACCTCTGCCTCTGCCGGGACGTCATCAGCAACTGTAGAGCCGCGCTGCTGCGTCTGGGGGCCGGCACCGGAGCCGCCCGGTGAGCTGTGTGGTGTGGTGTGGTGTGGTGTGGTGTGGTGTGGTGTGGTGTGGTGGTGTGGTGTGGTGTGTGTGGGGTGGGGTGGGGTGGGGTGGGGTGGTCCCGTGTGGTGTGGGGTGGTCCGGTAAGCTATCTGGTGTGGTACGTGGTGGTCCGGTAAGCTGTCTTGTGTACCGCGTGGTGGTCCGGCGAGCTGTCTGGTGTGTTGCGTGGTGGTCCGGTAAGCTGTCTGGCTTGGTGCTTGGTGGTCCGGTAAGTTGTCTGGTGTGTTGCGTTGTGGTCCGATAAGCTGCCTTGTGTAGCGCGTGGTGGTCTGGTGAGCCGTCTCGTGTGGTCGTGGTGGTCCGGTGAGCTATCCCGTGTGACTTGAGCCGGTCTCGGGGGCCCCGCGCCCTTGCGTGCCAGCAAGCGTCGGACTCTGGGTGGCACAGGCCGCCAGGCGCGGTGCTGACGGGTCTGCCTTGCGCAGTATGTGGTAGATCACAAAGTTGGCTTGAGGCTACTGAATGCGGCTAGGACCTGTGAACTTAAATCACACTCTTAGACGCCCGCAAGGCTGCGCCGACCGCCTCAACCATCGCCGCCCGTTGCGAGCCGACCAAACGGACTTGCCGCATGCTCCGGCCACGATGAAGTGCACAGACTTCGGTCCGGCTCTGTCCGGCCCGACTGATCAAACCTCACACTGAGATGCATGGGTCGGGGACGCGCTCACCACGCAGTGCGGCGACGCCACGGGCCAGGCGTCCGACACGGAGCGTATCTGACCACACGCCCGCCCGACGCGGCGATGGCGGGGGTGATGAGCCCAGCGGCCCCCGACCGTCGCGACGGCGCGTGTTTGGCCCGCGCTCTCGGACGGCCGCCTCCCGTCGTGCGACGGCTGCCACTGCTGACGCCCTGCCGTGCCTGCCGCAGACCGGACGCCGCCCGAGCCGCGCTCTGGAGCCGGGAGCGTCTGCTGGAGGTGGCCGCGGCGCTGGACACGCTGCCGCCGGCCGCCGGCGCCGGGCCGGCCGCCAAGCTGTGACGACCGGGCTGCGGCGGCTGGACCGGACCGCGGCGGCTGGACCGGGCTGCGGCGGCTGGACCGGACCGCGGCGGACGGGACCGGGACCTGCGGCGGACGGGACCGGACCGCGGCGGCTGGACCGGGCCGCGGCGGACGGGACCGGACCGCGGCGGACGGGACCGGACCGCGGCGGACGGGACCGGACCGCGGCGGACGGGACCGGACCGCGGCGGCTGGACCGGACCGCGGCGGCTGGACCGGGCTGCGGCGGACGGGACCGGACCGTGGCGGACGGGACCGGGCTGCGGCGGACGGGACCGGACCGCGGCGGCTGGACCGGACCGCGGCGGGCGGGACCGGACCGCGGCGGCTGGACCGGACCGCGGCGGACGGGACCGGACCGCGGCGGCTGCACCGGACTGCGGCGGAAGGGACCGGACCGCGGCGGCTGGACCGGGCTGCGGCGGACGGGACCGGACCGCGGCGGACGGGACCGGGCCGCCGTGGACGGGACCGGACCGCGGCGGCTGGCCGGCTACCGGCTGGATGGGACTCTCGCCGAGCCTGTGTGTGTGTGTGTCGGCCGTCTGCTGTCGGCGATGAGGTGGTCAGTGCCAGCTGCTGCACCACACAGAGACCTGGTCTGTGAACACGATGCTTATCTTTACTTGTGCTAGTCACCCGTGCATTACCGATGCACTTCTTCTAGTCATCGATCTGCTTCTTCTAGTCAACAAAATACGTCTTCTAGTCACTACAATGCTGAATCACCGTCACTGTGATTGTTTATCGTACCGACGCGTTGGGAGTGTATTGTGATCATGACCAAATCGTACAGCTACCTGTTTCGCGTACGGCGATAGCCATGTTTACGTCGGTTATATCCAAACCAACATGTGTGCTTCGGTTTGGTGAGGTTGTTTTCCTCTTCGCTTTTCTACTGTGGTCATGAGGTTTTGTAATAGGTATATTGTATAGACGTTAATTCGTTAATTATTATCCATCGTTACTTTCAAAATGCGAAAAGCCACGTAAAAATAAACATTCATAGCTTTTCGAGTCTTTTGAAAGATATGCGTCATTTAAAAAGGTTGGCATGTCTTTATCTCGACTGTGAACACCTTCTTTTGGGGCAACATTTCAAGTTGCACACCCCCCGCAGGGGCACCGGCTTCGGTTGGTGTAGGGGACTAGCGCCCCCTCGGGTCCCAGCTCCGGTAACGGGTGGACAGCGCAAGCTGGTCCTCTCAGGGCGTAGCGACCCCGCCTGTACGTGAGCTCCTGCTCCTTGTCCCGCCCGCTCCTTCCACTTTACCCGCACCCCCGCATCCGGCCCTATCACCATTCCTCATCCTCGTTTTATCGGGGTCGCCGTGCCCCCTCGCTCACGTCCCCGGGTTGATCGGATCCTGGTGGCTGAGGGGCGCGTCGTGCGGGTCAGTCACGGCGCGTCCCAACACTCCACTTTGACCAGAATATCTGGGGGCGTGGGGGGCCCGTGGGGCCCCACACGGGTCTAGCGGCTTGTCGCTCGCGTTGCGGTTGGATGCTCTTTGCGGGTCTCTGCTTGGGGCGCCTGACCGCGCGCAGCGGCTTAAGGGGTCAAGGGGTGGCGGCGCTGAACCACGGTCAGGACGGGGAGGGGTCTCCCCGGTTACACCTGGCCGTGTGGGAGGCGTCGTTCGCCCCGTATAGCACCGGGGTAGCCCTGACGGTGACCACCTCCCGAGGGAGTGTTGGGACGTCCCCCAGTTGGGTCCGAGGTGGGTGGGGAGCCCCGGTGTCGAAACTTCACTGAACTTCCATGGCATCTCATAATCAAAAAACCACCCGACCCCCGAGAGGGGGAAGGACCACGTTCAGAACGGAAAGCAGCGGGGAATCTTCGCCATCTCCCCGAATTTTGGTTTTCCAAAGTGACAAGACAAGGCTCTCGTCTCTCTCGCCGTTTCAGCGAAAGAACGGATGTGACCGATTTGGAAATGTGGTGCGGTGCGACAAATTGCGTGATGGAGGGCTAGAGGTCGAGTTTGTTAACGGAGCAGAGGCGGATCGTGCGATGGCTGCAGCCGAATTCACGTACTGCGTTCGGGACAAGGATGGCAAACGAGACGTTTCTGTACCTATCCGAGTGACACCACACCTGAAAAATAATACATCCAGAGGAATAATTAACTGCTTCGACCTGCGTGACGTCAGTGAAGAAGAGATTGCTGACGAGTTGTCTGCGTTCGGCGTCACTGCCGCACGGAGGATCTCCACGAGAAAAGGAACTGAGCAACTGCCAACAAATAACATCATCTTGACTTTCAATCGCCCGGATCTTCCTTCTGAAATACGCGTTGGATACGCGCGTGTGAAGGTGTGCCTTTTCATCTCAAACCCCATGCGAGGTTTCAACTGCCAGCGATTTGGTCATACCAAACAGTACTGCCGCAACAAACCTGCCTGTGGGAAATGCGCTTCCTCCGAGCACACAACGGAGTTTTGCGATTCAGAGAGAGCGTGTTGTGTGAATTGTGACAAAGACCAGGCCCCGCACACCACCTACGACCGCATGTGCCCAGCGTACGTGAAGGAAAAAGAAATTATCTCCATTAGGACCACTCGCGATATCTCTTTTCGCGAGGCCAAAACATTGTACGAGGAGAGCCACCCTCGAACATCATACGCCGAAAAGGCTAAGATCTCCACCGCACGTCCGGCCTCCACTGATCAGATGACCGCTGCTCAGTTTGTAGCGCTCTTGAAGTCCTTTGGTCTCTCGGTTGTGTCGACGAACCAGGCGCTGGACTCCAGTCTGGCAGACCTGGCTCCCCCTTCCTCGCTGGAGCGGCCGAAGGAGACCGTGCTGCCAACCTCCTCGCCCCCCGCAGGGGTTTCGCCGTCGGTGGCAGAGGACGGTGGTTGGACGGTGGTTCGGCGTGACCGGGGTAACCAGGCGCTGTCGGCTGCCCCCCTGTCTGCCAGCCCGACGACTAACACAACCTTGGCGAGCGCGAGCTCGCGAACGGCAGAGACGCTGGAGCGTCACGAGGCAGACAGGCGCGCCCGTGAGGCAAAGCGGGCACGCCTGGCAGACCAGGAGCGTGCCAAGGCAGCCAGCCGGCTGTCTGGAGCGGACTAGGTGACCGCTTCAACGGGGGAGACCCTCCCGCCGCCCCGAAGGCGTGTGGAGGCTCCCGCAGGCCCCTCCGACCCGCAGAGAGACCCGCCTATGGGTCCTCCGCCACCACCGCCACCTAGGACCACGACGTCGCCGGCGCCGGCCCCGTTTAGGACGGGCCGCCCGGAAAAGCGTGGTCCGCCAGGGCCGATTTCGCCAACGGATGGCGGTAGTCCCCGAATGCGTCCCAGGATCCGCCCGGTCTCTGTGGGAAACGGTTCTGAAGGCAGGACCAACAGCCATCGGCCGGGCTCCAGCGCTGCTGAGTTCTTTTAAAACATCACATTGCTTTTAAAGCCCCCTCATTCAGTCGGTCTTACAGTGGAACTGTAGAGGTGTAAGGTCAAGCACCCAGGACTTGCAGGCAATTTTAAGCGCGCACTGCCCGGTAGCCATATGTCTCCAAGAGACCAAGTTGGCGCCTGATGCGGCCTTTGGCCTGAAAGGGTACACTACCTTCCGCACTGACATGTCAACAGACACCGTTGCTTACGGTGGCGTTCTGCTGGCTGTACACCAAAGCGTACCTACACGGCGCCTGGTGTTAAGAACAGACCTGCAAGCTGTCGCAGCATCAGTGAATTCCAACCACCGTGCCATAACTGTCTGCTCTCTCTACTTACCACCTGGGGTTTCATTTCCATCTGTAGGACTAAGAGAGTTAGTCTCTCAGCTTCCTTCCCCTCCACTCGTTTTAGACTATTTTAATGCACATCATACTGTGTGGGGGTGTGCTTCCACGAGCACTCGTGGCAGGCTGTGCGAAGCTTTCGTGCATGACGAAGGCTTGTGTGTATTAAATACGGGAGCGAGAACCTATTTTACATTGCCATCAAGACGATCGTCAGTACTAGACCTGAGCATTTGTAGTCCGCAGTTGCTACCACATTTCACCTGGGATGCTTCAGAAGACCCCCTCGGAAGTGACCATTTCCCGGTCTGGGTTCGGTACCGCGATGGTACTGCTCTTGGTACGCGACCTCAGCGTTGGAACTTCAAGAAGGCGGACTGGGGCGGATTTGGTACCCGCCTAGAGGAAGTATTTTCTAACGATTCCGACTCGATGACGCCGACCGCGGAGGAATTTACGTCTTGTGTTCTGGACGCGGCAAGCGAATACACTCCACGCACCTCCGGATGCCCTCGTCGCATCCCTGTCCCTTGGTGGAACGACGAGTGCCGCGACGCTATTCGTTTACGTCGGAGAGCTTTCAGGGCTTTTGACCGGCACAGCAATACATTAAACCTTTTGGCTTTCAGGCAAGCACGCGCGGCCGCACGCCGCACTATTCGAGAGGCGAAACGTGCATCTTGGCGCAGCTATGTCAACTCACTCAATCGCCACACGCCGACATCGCATGTATGGAGCTGCATTAAAAGAATAGCTGGATTGCACCCACCAATCTCACTTCCCGTACTGCGAGTGGGAAATCAAGACATCACTCACCCAAGTGATGTCGCGGAAGCCATCGGGGAAGCCTTGTCAGAGCGTTGCCGAAATGGCACTTGCGATCCACGGTTTTTGCGACACAGGGCTAGATGTGGAACTTCGCAAGTTAATTTTCACACAGATGACATCCTGACATACAACAAGCATTTCACCATGATGGAACTTGAAGCGGCCATTCGCTCGCTGCGTAGCGTAGCGGAGGGGCCCGACCTCGTCCACAATGACATGGTACGGCATTTTCCTCACCGTGTACTACGAGCGTTGCTGGCACTTTTCAACTGTGTATGGGAGTCAGGTAACTTCCCGCCAATCTGGCGAGAGGCCCTAGAAGTGCCTATCTTAAAGCCCGGGAAAAGTGGAAGGAACGCCCTTGACTATCGCCCGGTCGCTCTCACATCTTTGCTGTATAAGCTTATGGAAAGAATGGTGAATGTGCGGCTCTCGTGGACTTTAGAACGCCAAAACTTTTTCACGAATGCTCAGTGCGGATTCCGTAAGAACAGGAGCACGATTGACCACATGTTAACTCTTGATACCGTAGTACGGGCCGGTTTTATCAGCAAACGTCATACCGGCGCCATCTTTTTTGACATAGAAAAAGCCTATGATACCGCATGGAGACATGGAACTATGATGAAGTTACTCGATTGTGGCATCCGTGGTCACATGGGAAAGTTTTTACAAAACTTTTTGACTGACAGATTCTTCCGGGTGCGTGTTGGTTCTTATCAATCCGACAGGTATCCGCAGGATAATGGTGTGCCTCAGGGCAGCGTATTAAGTGTCATTCTTTTCGCAATGATGATAAACGATATAGGGGAAACGCTTCCACATGGGATCAGCCGTTCTCTCTTCGTGGACGACTTTGCTATTTGGTGTAGTTCGTCGACCACTCGCACGATGGAGCGACAGCTTCAGCTGGCTGTCACACGTCTGGAGAAGTGGAGTGTGCTCAATGGTTTCCGGTTTTCTACGTCGAAGACAACTGCAGTTCATTTCTGTCGTCGTCGGCGTCACTGTCCTGAAGTGGAAATCAGGCTGTATGGGCAACGCGTCGCCAATGAGAATACCGCGAAATTTCTCGGTATACGATTTGACCGACGCCTAACATACCGTGAGCACATAAGAAATCTCCGCGACAAATGTTTATGATATCTTAACATCCTGAGGTGTGTGGGACGTACATCATACGGTGCTGACAGGAGAACACTCTTACTCCTATATCGCTCCCTGATTCGTTCGAAACTTGACTACGGCTGTTTTATCTATGACAGCACATCAGACCTGATTAAACGTACTCTGAACACGGTGCATCACGCCGCACTCCGTATCGTCACAGGGGCTTTTCGGACATCGCCCATGAACAGTCTTCTGGTGGAGGCTCACGAGCCCCCACTAGCATTGCGAAGGCAGATGCTGGGACTGCGCTACACGTGCAAGCTGGCGCAGTTCCCAGATCATCCCACCTTCAAAGCAGTGTTTTCGCGTAGCTTACAAAGGCTTTTCCTACGTCAACGGTCACCAAAAACTTCTCCTTTTTGTGTACGAATGAGAGGACTTTTAGACGCGAGCGGCCTCAACCTACGACGTGTCATCAGGTATAAACCCATAAAGACTGCTCCTTGGGAGCTAGCATCGCCAAGAGTGGATGTTTCGTTATCAAACATGCAAAAGCAACGCGTTCTCATGACGGAACTTAAAGGGGCAGCCTTAGAACACATAGCATCTTTTGACGGGTGCATGACGACTTACAAGGATGGCCCAAAGACGGACGCAGGTGTGGGGTGCGCTTTTGTGTGTGGATCCACAACACGGTCATTCACGCTGCCTCCACACGCGTCGGTCTTCACCTCCGACTTTATAGCCATCAGCAAAGCTTTCTGTTTTATTGGAGTGGACGATAGCAATCTGCATTTAATTCTTTCAGACTCCTTGAGCAGCCTCTTGGCTGTTGGCGGCTTTTCCCCGTCGAATCCACTAGTTCAGGACATTTAATCTCGTCTTAGCTCACTGGATCGAGCAGGAAAAACGGTCGTTCTATGCTGGCTCCCAAGTCACGTGGGGATATGCGGAAATGATCTTGCTGACGCGGCAGCAAAGCGCGCTACGACAGGGACTAAAATTCCTAAAACACCACTACCAGCTCAAGACATGTACCCCGCAGTGTCGCTGTTTATGCAGAAGCGATGGCAGTTCCACTGGAACTCGCTGAGCGCCAACAAGCTGCAGTCGGTGAAACCCCGCATTGGATTATGGCAGTCGTGCTTTCGGGACAATAGGGTGGAAGAAGTTGCTCTTTGCCGGCTACGCATAGGTCACACATATGCTACGCACCGTCACCTGCTACTGGCTGGCGACAGACCATGCTGCGGTCGATGCTCTGATCCACTGACCGTGCATCGCGTACTGGTCGCTTGCCGCCACCTTAATGCAACGAGAGCGCAGTTTTTCGGACGCCGCGTCCAGAGTCGCACGCTATGCGACTTTTTAGGGGATTCTTCGAACATCGTCGAGTTTTGGAAAGTGCTCCAGTTCCTTCGCGCTATAGATTTCCCTGTAATCTTTTCATCATGATGCTAGGGCCGATCATCATGGCTCTATAGGGTGACCTGATTGATACACTTCTCTGATTGACAACTCTGCATAAATTGATAGTTATGGGCGCTGCATGACCTTCAGCAGTCGATGCGCCCTAAAACCCCAAATCATCATCATCATCAAGTTGCACACCGTGTTTATTTTGATGACCCCGCCAGCTTCTTTTGTGAGCATTAAATTATGCAGGATGCTGCTGAAGACAGAGCACATTGTGGTATGCACAGCTAGCGGCGCACCTTTCATCAGGGCCGTCTCGTCGTTAATTCACGAACGTTCATATTAAACCGCTGTTGCTTGCGCAGTCTTAGACACCGCACGGTTGCTTCCTGAGACATGTGTATCCCCGGCGTAAGAAAAACTGAGGGTTGAGAACTGGCGGATCGACCTGTCGTTGTGTACCGAACGGCGCGGGGTATCAGAAACGGGACGGCCTCAACTGGCATGTGCCAATTCCGTCACTGACGGGTGTCGTGGACACAGTTCGCTCTAGAGACCAGAACTGTCACTGTCACTGACTTGACCGCTAAGTTTGGGGTTGTTGGTGAGGGGATATGGTATCAATGTGGTAGCCCTAGGCGTAGACAGCTGCAAAGCACTTGATTCACATGCGGCGGTAGAGAAGGTCGGAAGATCCTGACTTGAAATGTAGGAAGATACTCAATCTCGTGCCATTCTATATTGGTTTCCATGTTTCCGTGAGCGATGTTCCATGCAGACAGGAAGTGGTCTGTGTTTCATGCAATAGTAGTGTGAAAGCCATCCCAAATGACGACGCGTCCTGCTTTGTGGCATCGTTTCACGGAGCCTGTAGCGTGAACATCCATTTAAGGCCCGAGGTCCTAGCTGGGTGCCGAATGCCATTGATTGTTGAGAAGCAAAGGGACCATGTCTGGGTCCAGTGTTATGCAATGCTACACCGTATGGTTGGGCCAATATATTTTGCAATGCCACAAATTTTCTAGGGTTATAACCCTTGCCATGGGATGCAAATGTTGTGAGGATTTTTGTTTTTCAGGTATGTAGCCTCTTCTTTGAACCCTGCAAGATGACCAACTGCATTGCCCCACAAAACTACACTTCACACGCTGTAGCAACTCTCGGCTTCTGTTATCTGGTGTGATCATAGTCAATTTGCACTACCTTGATTGATATATAATTCAGTAAGAAAGATATAAGGTACTGCTTATTTTTATGCAAGGTTGGAAGCTAGCAAAATGTTAAGCACATGGTTTTGGCAAGGTGGCTTGCAAACAATAGCTAGAAAATTAGCAAATACCATGTTGAAGGCAGACAGACTTGCACCAGTATCCACCAGTTCTAAATGTGCATCTGCCAGCATATTTGATAGAAAAGTCAAAGAGTTACAAAGGAACTATGCAGGAAAACAGCCTGACTCATCAGTATATGACTATGTAAAAGAAGAGGTGAGTTAGTTGTTTTCATTCATTAGCTTACACTCTCTTGACTCTAGGGAATGTTGCATATGTTTTCAACTATATTTGTAAGTAAATAAGATACAATTGATGGTTTATAAACAATATCAGTAAATCACAACATTTACTGTAGTCTCCCTTTTCACTTCATGCCATCACAGTCAGAGCCATCAGATATGTACCAGAACTACTGTGATGAATCATCAGTACTGTCTTTTAATGTGGCTGTTGTGACTGAAAATTGCGAACTTCCAGGTGGGATGGAGAGTTGCTGATAGAGTGTTTGACATTAAACGTCAATTTGACACAATATTGGACCTGGGCTGTGGCAAGGGGTATGTCTTCAAGCATTTTGACAAGGTGAGCAATAAGTGCTAAATTGCCAGACACTGGTATAGGACCAGTGTTGGCAAAGTGGCCTCTTACCAGATTTTCTGCCTGCAGCTCAACAGTTTGTTCCCCCATTACACTGATCCTGCCATTTTTGGCAATGACTAAAACCTTTTTCAGCCACACATTGGCTGCTTTTGGCATAAACAACCACTGCATTTGGCATGCCCTTAAAACCCAATAACTAATAATGACAGCTGGCCTTGCAATGTACACACTGACCCAACAAAGTAGAATTATGATGTGGGTACATGCACATTCTAGCACTGTTATGTCTAATGTGCCTATTTTGTTTGCGGTCATTAGTGATGGGGCATGCACACCATATACCTAGCAGCACACACCAGGAGTGTAGTTTCCCATTTAGTTGAGACTCCAGGCCCCCTCCCCACTGACACCCACACACATGCATTCAATTCAAGATGATGAACATCAGCTATCTGCAAGGAAAAGCCTGTTGTGCATTTATGGTGGCAGGTCACCCTCTGACTTTGTTTTGAGAAACTGTACCCGTGATATGCAGTGAGCAATTGTTTGCTGTGAGTGTAGTTTTGAAAACTAGTAGCAAGGTTTTGTCATGCTGTCTGACCTAGGTCAATGAAATAAGAATACCCTGAGATGCTGCAACCGTTCGGTGTAGGTGTACTTTCCTACCTAACGTTAGAAAAAATCATTGCACACCATTCGTCGTGTTCAAGGCGGCACATATCGTAAATCATCTCAAAACAGGTAGAATCATGCTCCTACCTTCGAATTTCAATAACTTCGATGGCGAGCTCCCGAGCGCCGCGCGCATCGCACCGCCTGGACTCCCCAGCGCCGTTTCTGCGTTGCCGTTGCGTAAATACAATATTTCTGCTTACCAAGAACTCTACAAAATGTACGGGACCAAGGTAAACCATTCGTCGTGTTTAAGGCGGAACATATCGTAAATAATTTCAAAACAGATAGAATCATGCTCCTACCCTCGAATTTTAATAAATACGATAGCGAGCTCCCGAGCGCCGCACGCCCCGCACCGCACTGCCTCGACTTCCAAGCGCCATTTCTACGTTGTTGCGAAAGCACAATATTTCTGCTTATCAAGAACCATAAAACATGTATGGGACCAAGGTTACAATGATAAAGCAACCAAAATCGTTTCTTATCGAGTTTAGGTACATTTATGAAACACGCAGGCCAGAATAGTCCAGAACATATCCTAACCTAACCTAACCTAACCTAACCTAACCTAACTGAGAATAGACCAGAACCTAAGCTAAGCTAAGCTAAGCTAGCCTGACCTGACCTGACCTGACCTGACCTGACCTGACCTGACCTGACCTGACCTAACCTAACCTAACCTAACCTAACCTAACCTAACCTAACCTAACCTAACCTAACCTAACCTCCCCACCCTATATCCCCTTCAACCCAGCATGTCATTGGCATCCATGTTCCATGCCATATATAGGTGCCATATAGTGAGCTTTTATTTAGCTGCCATGTTCTCATTTTGCTTTACATTCCCCACCCAATCCCCCTGCAACCCATGGTCCCGTTGGCGTCGAGGATCAAATTTCATGGATTCTTGCTACCTTGTCCCGGTACATTTTTATGGTTCGCAGTAAATATGGTTTATAGTTATAGTATGGTTTATATAGTATAGTTTATAGTTATAGTTATGGTTTATAGTATGGTTCGCAGTTAATATGGTTTATATGGTAAATATGGTTATGGTAAATATGGTTTATGTTTAGTAAATATTTTTATGGTTCGCAGTTAGGTTATGGTTGTCCTGCCTTAAACATGACGAATGGTTTTCTTTGGTCCCGTACATTTTGTACAGTTCTTGGTACGCACAAATATTGTATTTACGCAACGGCAACGCGGAAACGGCGCTGGGGAGTCCAGGCGGTGTGGTGCGCGCGGCGCTCGGGGGCCCGCCATCGAAGTTATTGAAATTCGAAGGTAGGAGCATGATTCTACCTGTTTTGAGATTATTTACGATATGTCATGCCTTAAACACGACGAATGGTGTACAATGATTTTTTCTAACGTTAGGTAGGAAAGTACACCCTGACCAACCCTTTGCATCTGGACCACATTGTTTTGCAAATAGGGAAAATGGAAATATTATTTTATGATTTGTGTAATGTTCTCGCGTAGTTGGCCGACGCACCGCGCCAGCTGCCGCCGTGAAGTGCCCTCTTAATAATTACATTGAATAAGTGCATCATGACTTATATGAATGCAAACTTGCTCTGCCTGCCACACGGTATGGGCGTTCAGGTTCGTAAGGTTCGTTTTGCGTGCACCATAAAGCAGCCCCGGCACAGCGCACCAGGAAGAGAAAGATGTGCTCACTGCACATGTATGTTATGTGTATTTCCTCGATCAGAACGAGCTAGAATTTAACAGACAATGCTCTGCTCCTAAACACACAATCGCTTTTAGAAGTTGAGTTGACTAATGAACAGCAACTAAACTCACATTTTACATGAGTCAAAATTTATGTGCAGATGACTGGAAACACCTGAAGGAATCCCCCTTCCGTAAGACGGCAGAGTGCCACCCTCTTTGACCCGTCCCCAGAGAGGTCACGGTTCTGAATGCCTAGAATAGCCGAGCTCCACAGCTTACATTGGTCTCGCGCAGGAATGAAAGGATCTTTTCCGACGCGTATGTGTACCACCCAGCTATAGCACCCGGAGCACATGATTCGGAGTTCCTCGTCCCTCGGGGCCGCTCTCGGCTTGCCGTGCCAGCGCGGCCGGCAGCCAACCCTGCCGCCGATCGCTAGACCTCCGAATCAGTTGGTCATCGGCGCCTTTGTACAGCCGGGCCCGCACCAAACACAAAGGGCGGCGCTTTTCGACTGCCCTCACAATGTCAAGGACGGCTGCTCGAGCACCGAACCGCGGCGAGAGAACATCGTTGCATTTCTTGGTGTTTCCTTATACTGCTCCAATGGTGCGTCAACATGGTCTGTTTGGTTGGCAATGCTCCGTGTTCGGTTGAAGGGACATAAATGCAAGTTACAGGGCTTGGGCTGCTCCAAGTGAAAATGGTCCGACAGCCCTGATCTCAGTACCAGTGTGCTGAAGGCCAGGCTTTGCTTCCCATTGTGTACTGATCACTCTTCGATGCTGTGGTCAGGCCCTTCAGCCCCCGCTGCAGACCCTTATATGCGCTCTGTCTGCGCCGGTCGGTCGCCCGGCCTTCACCGCGTCGCCCCGGCTGCGCCGCCAGGACATGGTGCGGCACGTGGTGGCATGCGAGCTCTCAGACGCCCTGCTGGCCGCCACCGAGCCGCCGGAGGGCGTGCAGCTGAGCCGGCGCCACGAGGACGAGGAGACGCTCCAGCTGGACGAGAATAGCGTCGACCTAGTCACCAGCAGCCTGAGGTGAGAACTGGCCTGGTTAACAGCAGACTGAGGTGAGAACCTCGGTTCTGATTACCAGCAGGGTGCGATGAGAGCTCTGGCTCGGTCACCAGAAGCCTCGGGTGAGAACTGGCCCGGTTAACAGCAGCCTGAGGTGGGAACCTCGGTTCTGATCGCCAGCAGCGTGCGATGAGAACTCTGGCCCAGCCTGCAATGCAGCCTGCAAGAACCAGTAGCCTGCAATGATAATTCTGGCCCAGTCACCAGCAACCTCCGGTGAGAACTCTGGTTCGGTCACCAGCATCCTGAGGTGAAGCCTCTGCCCAAACCGGCTGTCGTGGACGGCTGGGCTCGCCATCTGATAACCACCGCGATCTTTATGACGAAGGAGCCGCCGCAACCTCCGATGAGAACCTGCCCCCACCAACACCGAGTTTTCAGTGCAGTGTGTAGGACTCCTAGCACTGCGGCGTCATCAGCGCCGTCGATGGTGGGCGGGTTCCATAGCGTGTTCGGATCCGTCGCTGCCACATATCAACGTGCGGTGATCACCTGTACTGTCGACAGCGCCACCTCTGGTCGGTCCTGAACCCGCCCTGCGGCATTGGCTTCCCCGCACCACCGTTCCCGCCGCCTGATCCACTGGTGCTTGCTCGACGCGTTACGTCCTGACGCCGCCGACGGCGACGGCGACGGATCGGACGGCTCGGACGGCGCCCCGGTCTGACCGCGTGCCCCGCTCCCCCGACAGCCTCCACTGGGTCAACGACCTTCCGGGCTGTTTCGGGCGCGTGCACCGGTGCTTACGGCCGGACGGCGCGTTCGTGGGCGCCGTGCTCGGCGGCGACACGCTGTACCAGCTGCGCTGTGCGCTGCAGCTGGCCAGCCTAGAGCGCGAGGGAGTGAGTGCCTGGCGCCGTGCCGGTGGACGCGCCCGGCTTCTTGCACATACGGGGGGATGTGTGGAGGTGGGATGTCGGCGCGCCCTTAAACTCCAATCAACGAGGTGGGATGTCTGCACCCGCGATCATCCCGTATAGGCTCGGCTGTAGACAGCCACAGAAGTCAAGACTCGGTAGCCAATACATGTGGTTTGTTTCAGTTCGTTGTGCCGTGCGATTGTACCTTGGCTCGAGACGTCAGCCGGCGCGCTATCCAGCACGCGCGGGTCCGCGGTCGTGTGCCGGTGTGCTGGCCGAGGCCGGCGGTCCGGCCGGGCGTGCCTCGGCCGCGGAACTGATGGCGCGTGCGGATCCTGCAGGGGGTCGGCCTGCACGTGTCGCCGTTCGTGAAGGCGCAGGATGTGGGCGGCCTGCTGACCCGGGCCGGCTTCACCATGCTCACCATCGTGAGTGGCTCGAGGCGAGGGGCCTCGGTGGCTCAGTGGACAATATTAGAGCGGGGGCGGCGACGGCGGGTGCAGGCTGTTCGCTCATGTCTGTTGATACTCCAAGTCAGCTGGTCTTGAAGCAGGGTCGTTACGTTCCTGGACCCCCCCCCCCCCCCCTGACTGACTGCTCTGCTTTGTGCCACCTTGAATGTAACTTTGAATGTAAGACATGGCGAATCCAACACAAATTTTGGCTCGTGTCCTCCGCCCTCCCCCGCTGACGCGCGTCCGACGCAGCTAGACCAGTCTTGTGGTGGTTCGTCTCTTCGGAACACGTGACGACGATGCGCAGGCGCACATTTGCAACAGTCGATGCTTGTGTGTTGCAAGCTGCAGACGACGGCGGGCGTCCAGCTTACGTGTTGTGCGTTGCTTGCCAGCAAACGGCGTCCGTTTGCCACCAGCCGTCCATAACTCGGCTGCCGGTCGCCACAGGACGTGGACTCGGTGACGGTCGGATACCCGTCCATGTTCGAGCTGATGTGGGATCTGCAGGGCATGGCTGAGAACAACGCCGCCTACAACCGCAAGCTGCGCCTGAACCGGGACACCATGATGGCCGCCGCCGCCGTCTATCAGGGTACGCCGACCGCTGGCACCCTGCGTGGCAGGGAGCGCTAAGAGAGCGTTTTTGTGCGTCGGCGTCACGAGATTTGGGAAGTTAGTTCTTTGAACGAAGTGAGGTACCTGGGCCAGGTGTCGATTCTGGCCATTGTGAATGGTGACTGCCTGGAAGTTCCAGGCCCAGGCCCAGTTTGTTCCAGGCTGGAACAAACTGGGCCTGTCTGCTCCGCAAGAGAGATGTACGTAAGCGGTTCCCGGTATAATAAAACCTAAGTGGGGGTCTGTGCATGTGCGACTGACTGCCGCGTTTCACACGTGCGGTAGCAGCTCTTCGTTCCTTCGTACGTCAGTATAGTTCTGGGACCTGCTGCCGCCGGTGGTACCTGTGCCGGTGTAACCGTGCCTGTCCCGCCGCAGAGATGTACGGCAGTTCCCCGGAGAAGGACGACGGCTCCGTGCCGGCCACGTTCGAGGTGCTGCACTTTATCGCCTGGAAGCCGGGCGCCGGACAGCCGCAGCCGCTGGACCGAGGCTCTGGCACCGTCTCGCTGCGTGACCTCGGCTCGGTGGTGTCCGGCAGCTGACCTGACCTGACCTCCCCGCACCGTAGACAGCTCAGGGGCGCGGCCGGCGGGAATGCGTCGGATAGACGCGCCGCCGCCGCCGCATGGGTTTGTGTGGGAGCGTGTTGTCGCCCGCTGCTTGCCTGAGAGATGTGACGTCTGGATTGATGGCGCCACGGCCATGGTAGTGTCGCGTGACGTAGTGTTTTGTTTTGCGGTGCTGGCTGTAGTATACAGTCCGGGCTGTACCCTCTTGGCTGTCGAGGCGGAGTTATCGGCCTGAGACCGGCAGATTTTTGCCAGCGATTAGAAAATTCCGGCTTGGTCGTGTTCCAGGCGGCGATATGGGCTGCGAGGTACAAACATGACTTGAACAGGACTGAACCTTTCAGGTGTATGTCGGATGTGTCTAACATTGAATCGGTCGTCGCTTGTCTGGTCATGTTTGCAAGATTTGACACGTATGGCCTGTTCCACACGTGAATCGCCGTGCTTGCGTATATTGATTACAAAATAAAATATCACAGTTGCGTGCTTGTAACATGAGTACGTGAGCCCGGTGTCGCGCAGCTCTGTCTAAGTGCCCCGCCGCTGGGCCGCACCAACTAAAGGAAACTCAACATGTGCATCGGTAGTGCAATAACCATGCCAACAGCTAACATCCGGTGTGCCGGCTGCGGCGCCAATAAGCAGCGGAGTACAATGTCCGCCGGCCGCGCGGCCGACGCGGCGCGCCTGGCGCTGCGTCAGCCCTGCGTGTCGGTCAGGACGCCAGCTGAGGTCGCCCCGGCCGTCACGAGCTCTTGACCACGAGCGGGTTCGATATGCGGAATATGTTGGGCAGCATACTCGCCACGCTGGAGAACACCTCCTCCGAGATGGCCTGGAATGAGAGTGGCTGGTTAGAGTGGGCCGACGGGAAAAGAGGCTTACAGGAAAACAGGTCGGACGCTTAACTATGCACCGTACATACACACATCAACCAAATCACAACGTATGACTGTGAAAACAACGCAAACTGATCGTCCTAGATCACGCGCGCGTTCGCGCTACCGCGTACCCGATGCACTCAGCTAGTTCGTTGACCCTTGGGGCGAGTTGGCGGCAGTGTCCATGTTGAGCCCGTGCGTGAGGCTCGGTTGTGCGCACGTTATGGGACTCATTGCACGCGGAATGCATACAGCAATGCCCTAAAATTCCAACAGGCAAGAGGACTGCGTGATGTGAAAGAAAATACACTGCAAACGCATCAGCGGGTACAGCGCGCCGATCCTGCTGGACGGGTATCGCATCTTTCATGCACTGACTGTCCCCACTCGGCACCGTGCTGGGTCAAACAGCAAAGTGCGTTACATAAAGACAGCGGAGTTCAGATCGCATCAGCCGTCTCATGACGCCATAGTTACTTTTATTTCTCACCAGATTTCCTGCTCCGTCCAACAAGCTTGGCGGGAGCAACTTATTACGGTACGATTTAATTATGTCGGCCGCCCCCCACAAGCGAATAAATTATTCACGACGCTCAGGAAGCAGACATCATCTGAAACTACCTGCCAACCGAGTACCCTGTCATAAACGTTCACGTGAGCAGCAGAATAAGCGGCGGAAGACGCCGCCGCATTGCCGGTGTTTTCGCCCACCCTGGCCGGTCCGGGCGGCAGGGGACCGCAATGGAGCATCGCCCACCTTGGGCACGATGAAGTGGATCGTCCTGGTTTCGCTGCCGCCCCAGGCGACCATCTCCATCATGAAGCCCTTGACGCACTTGTACACCAGCTCGACCCTCTTCATGCACCAGGCCACTGTCATCTCCTGAAACAACGAACGGGATGGCGACATTGAAGGTCATCATGACAGGGTCCGAAGGCGACAGCTGCTGGGACCCACCAGCACGCACGCACGCACGCACGCACGCACGCACGCACGCACGCACGCACGCACGCACGCACGCATGCATGCACGCACCCACGCGCGCGCGCACGCACACGCCCGCCGAGCGCAGCCGCCGGTGCATACCTCGCTCATCTCGTGGCTGAGCAGCAGCGGGATACTGAGGGTCGTGACGTCACCGAGGAAGGCCACCTTCAGCACGTTACGCAGCGCCAGGATGACCGGGTGGCGGGAGTTGATGTCGCCGCGCAGCGTGTCCTGCGGCCACAGGCGCGCCGGTCAGAGGTCGGTCGGAGCCGAGCCGCGACTGCGTCCGCGACACTCTCGGGGCGCCGGCTGGCGTAGCCTCGTTGGTGTGAGTGGACGGCTCCACAGGCCCCGGCCCCGCGACGCAGCGCCGCGTCTGCCCGCTCCCGTGTGCCGACACTTCACGGTCACCTCCCGCAGCCCCGGCGCGGTGCTGTTCACCATGACTTCACGACTTGGACCGGCGACTGGATGGTCCCGCAGACCGAGACTACCCGGCTGTCCGGCTCGCCACGGCGCGACGCATAACGCCGGCACTATGCGTCGACTCGGCGCCACACGCCGGCACCACGCGTCGACGCGGCGCCACACGCCGGCGCTATGTGTCGACTCGGCGCCGCACGCCGGCGCTGTGCGTCGACTCGGCGCCGCACGCCGGCGCTGTGCGTCGACTCGGCGCCGGCCGCCACTCACGTCCGTCACGATGTGGTAGGCCAGGTGGCCGGCGGCCAGGTTGGAGTGCCGCGTCAGGTACATGTCGCCGGGGCGCATTTGGGCCTGCGCCGCCGCCGGCCTCTCCTCCGCCTCACCAAGCGGCGCCGCCGGCCGCCGCGCCGCCCGCCACGCGCACACCTCCGGCACGGTGTTGCGGATCTCTTCCAGCTGAGAGTCGAGCGCCGGGAAGTGCAGCTCCGTGGCGCGCGACACCAGACCGGCGAACTCTGTCCGAGGGAGGATAACAGGTGGGAGGCGGTGCCGGCGAACTGCACCTGGCGCGGCGGAGACGGCAGCACGTCCGGCACCCCGAGCGCGGTCTGCAGCGGCGGCACGCCAGGCTAGGAGTCGATCACTCATCAAAATAATCGAACCCATACGCGATTGGCTACACGAAATCGATACACATGTGACGCGTACATATGCCAGATACTGTGGAGTTTCGCACGCTATTCCCACAAACGCGACCATTCCAGCCACACACGACACTCCGTACACGGTAAGCACGTGGTTAAACCACGGAAGCCCGAGATGCCCCTGCAAAAATACTTTTGAGTGTCTTCAAGCTCGCAGATAACGTCTTAAGAGCTCATATGTACTTCGGGAAGAAGTGTGCAGGATACCAGGGCAGCCCTTCCGGCTTCTAACCGACCAAATAAGACCAGTAGTCGTCCACTGACCCTTCTTCAGTCCGGTGTACGAGTTGATTCTGTTGTCGACCAGGAGGACCAGGCCGGATAGCGAGTTTGAGTACAGATCCATGGCGGTCTGTATCCGCCTGGGGTCCACTTCGTTAGAACTGAAGACACCATCCAGTATTACATCAACGCACAGAACACAACAAAATCCCACCGACACACGGAACAACGGACCGCGGCCACAAAGCCCTTTAGATCATTATATTTAGCCCATTATCTTTAGGGCAATCTGAAAGGGCGTGCACTAACATTGGGACGACGTAACACGGGCGGGCCGCCGTGACGTCCTTATATCTAAAACTGGCCCACCGGGGAGGCACAGGAAACGGAACAGGATACCCGAGCTGTCCACGTACCCAAACGCCGTCGCCTTTGCTCTGGCACATCAGTCTCGTTTATTTCCGGCATTACTGTTACGGGCAGGGATATGACGGCATGCATCAGTCTGAGAACACGTTCTGGCTGATGATGACATCGGGCATAGTTGTTTAGTCAGACACGTAAAAACCAACATCATCATTCTCTCGACATAATCTTTATCTGTACGTCGCAATGACCCTACCAAATGTTGGCATCCGCAGCGCTACGGAGATAAACGCCGTACAACCGTCTATATTTCAGCTATCGCCGCGTTCTGTCAGAAATTATATTACAAATTCTAAGGTAGGTCCAATCGCATTAAGGTTCGATGAATTGCACAACTGCAAATGGCCGCATCGCCCGTGCCTCACTCACGTTACGGCAGTACCAATGCCGTCACGTATCTAACGGTAACCACTTGCCTAATTTCGGCAATTTTCAGGGGAAGCAGAGTTCAGTGGAAACAGGCATGTCGACATTCGCTCACCGACTTATGTGTAGCTGGAAAGCGATCTTCAGCATTCTAACATATGTATCTGTCATATTCATACCATGCTCACCGTCATTAAGTGGTCCCATCCTTCTTTGGGTGATATCACCGACCATCAACAGCTGAATCCACATCATGACTTAGTCCAGTTACCTGCCCTAAGCCATCCCATTGGATCCACTCCAGCGTGGCAGCCGCAACAGGCATGTCCTTCCCCCCCCCCCCCCCCCCCCGCTAACCCCAGCTCCCCTCCCCATCCGCCGGGCAGAGCGGCGCAGATCACCTGCCGCAACAGGTCTCCCCTCCCCATCCGCCGGGCAGAGCGGCGCAGATTACCTGCCGCGGTAGCTGAACGGCTGCAGCACGTCGGCGGCCAGCAGGCGCAGGTTGTACATCTGCTTCAGCTGAGTGCCCAGGTGGATGGTGAAGCTCTCTTCCAGCGCCGGCGGCGGCGGTGGCGGCACCGGCTCCGACTGCGCGGAGGTCGGCGGCGCCACCGGTCTGTCGGGGGCGACGGGGCCGGTCAGTAGCGCACTGGTGACGCGTCACCGGTGGCGCGGTGGCGCTCCGCCCGCTCGCCGATGGAGCCGCGCCAGCATTCGACGTGACGGGAGCGAGAGGGCCTTCGCTTCCCTACTTTGGCACCAGGGCATACACCGCTAATCGCGCTACTGCAACGCATCAACTCACAGGACCGTGCCATAATGCAACATGCACCACATTTCGCGAGACTACGGTTCACCATAGGCCATCATCGGTTCGGGCCATCAACGTAATAATGATTGAGGCTTTACGTCTCGCCGACCGCCAGGGCCATTCGAGATGGGGTCATCAACGTACCAAAATGCGATATCGATGTGTGCACAAGCCAGCCAATATACGCCCGACGACGGTACTTCGTACGAACGTTACCGCCGTCCCCGCGGAGATGCCAGTGCGCAGAATAACTGCTGACTCGCTTACTGAAGATGACATTATGCAACCAGGACAAGGGGAATACTTGGACATATGTCACTACAAGTCTGAGACAACAAGAGACGACCTGTTAACCAGAGATTCCACACACGCTGCATGTATGTCATTCATGGCGGCTGGATATAGATATTCACAAGTCAATGGTGTAGGACGTCTACAAAAAAACTACACGCATCACGCGGCTCATTAGTAAACAAGGAAGAAGAATCTGTCACATGGAAATACCCGTTGCCGAAGTCTACCTGCCATGGACAAGGCAGCGTCATCCTTCAAGACAGCCTCGGAATGAAAGTGGGTGATCGTGGTTGAGACCCTCCGCAAACGAAACATCTCGGGAAAACGTGGCTGGAAGCTGTGCGGGTGAGCTCGCCTGGGCCCGTGGGGCCCCCGTGAGCGCGTGTCACCTGGGAATGTCAGTGTCGCCCAGCTGCACGCGCTCGTGCACGCCGGTGAGCCAGTTCCAGAAGTTCTCGCGCTGCGTCTGGCGCAGGGTGAGCAGGTGACTCTCCCAGCGGCTCTGCGAGGCGAGACCCGAGCGTCAGCTACAGCCGACATGCCAGCGCGGGCTGACAGACGTCAAGCAACACGGGCGTCAGCGCGCCAGCTCATCTCTTGCTACATACACATGGCTGCCTGATGACGATTTGGGGTTTTGGGGCGCGTCGACTGTTGTAGGCTATGCAGCGCCCGTCACATGGATGACTATTGTTTGATCTATTTTCATACAGATAAGACAGCACTAAAAGCCTTATTCCTCGTAGAATAACCAGAAGAATAGACGGATAGATGGATTGACGTCTCGCATGCATGCCTTTATCAGAACCAATACCAATAGTTAATTAAAAATGTCACTTTTCCAAATTTTGCAAAATTGCAAAATTTAAGAACTGGCAACTTTGAACTGAATTGAACTTCTGTTAATGGTTTCAATAAAGGTATGTTGCCGGAATACCAACTCATCCACTTCCCTATTCTGCTGGTCATTCTATGATGAATAAGGCTAATAGTACTCTATTACCTGCATGCATATGTTCCTCGCAAATGCACTTCTCAACTTATGTCAGCTTGATATATGTTCCAGACACCAGCCCAGCTGCCATGTAAACCTCACAAAACTAAACCCAATCACCGCATATGTATCACACAACCCTCACCAGACAACCTTCACACAACCTTCAGTCACCAGAGCACTAACACAGCGGCCCCTGTCTAAACTGCCGGCTCCGGCCCAACAAACTGGTCACGAACGACACACCCATTCATTCGATGGCCTTAGACAGCCTGCTGTAACAGCATGTCCAACACCTAACTGCTGATAATGAGAGCACCCAGCGAACCATACCCGGATGCAGAGCGGTTCGATGACGCGGGCACTAACGCTCAGGGCCGACGCCAGTGCGCAGACTACTCCGATACATTCCTCGGGCAACTCTATCCTCCATAGCCCTTAGCACGCTATGTCACGCGCTATTCCAGCCACCTGACCGCCCTGCCAGCGAGTAAAAAGCGGGCAGCCTCCTGGACCGATCTAGTAACCGCACTACGCGTGTGAATGTCGACATGTCCGGCGCCATGTGCCACGACGGCACCCGCCGGCGTACCTGGACCAGCTGCGAGTCATCGAACTGCTGGGCGGCCAGCGCGTTCACGTGCTCCGGGCTGCGGGACGCCACCGCCAGGTCCATGTCGGCGCCGTGCCTGCCGGCCAGGGCAGCGGTATGTCACCGGTGCCGTCACGACAGAGGCACGCTCGACCACCGGTGCTGTCATGGCGGGACGCTCGACCACCGGCGCCGTCAGGACGGTGGGACGCTCGACCACCGGTGCGGTCACGACAATGGGACGCTCGACCACCGGTGCGGTCATGACGGCGGGACGCTCGACAACCTGGCGCCGTCACGACAGCGGGACGCTCGACTACCAGTGCGGTCACGACAGCAAGACACTCGACCACCGGTGCGGTCACGACAGCGGGACGCTAGACCACCAGTGCGGTCACGACAGCGGGATGCTCGACCACCAGTGCGGTCACAACAGCGGGACGCTCGACTACCGGCGCCGTCACGACAGCGGGACGCTCGACCACCAGTGCGGTCACGACAGCAAGACACTCGACCACCGGTGCGGTCACGACAGCGGACGCTCGATCACCAGTGCGGTCACGACAGCGGGACGCTCGACCACAAGTGCGGTCACGACAGCGGGACGCTCGACCACAAGTGCGGTCACGACAGCGGGATGCTTGACCATGGGCGCCGTCCCGACAGTGAGACCCTCGACACTTCAGCAGCCTCACGGGAGGTCAGAACACACCTTCGGCGGGATCCGTGCCTGGCGGCCAGCTCTACAGTCGGAACCTAGCGGCCAGTTCTGCTGTCTGAAGCTGGCCAACCCCGAGGTCCATACCTGATAGCCAGCCCCAGGGTTCGCACATGGCCAGCCCCGGGGTCCGCACCTGGCCAGTCTCAAAGTCCATACCTGACAGCCAACCCCGGGGTCCACACCCGGTCAGCCTCGGGGTCCGCACCTGGCCAGTCCCAAAGTCCATACCTGACGGCCAACCCCGGGGTCCACACCTGGTCAGCCTCGGGGTCCGCACCTGGCCAGCCCCGGGGTCCGCACCTGGCCAACCCCGAGGTCCATACCTGACGGCCAGCCCCGGGGTCCGCACCTGGCCAGCCTCGGGGTCCGCACCTGGCCAACCCCGAGGTCCATACCTGACGGCCAGCCCCGGGGTCCGCACCTGGCCAGCCTCGGGGTCCGCACCTGGCCAACCCCGAGGTCCATACCTGACGGCCAGCCCCGAGGTCCGCACCTGGCCAGCCCCGGGGTCCGCACCTGGCCAACCCCGAGGTCCGGTCCATACCTGACGGCCAGCCCCGGGGGTCCGCACCTGCCAGCCTCGGGGTCCGCACCTGGCCAACCCCGAGGTCCATACCTGGCGGCCAGCCCCGGGGTCCGCACCTGGCCAGCCTCGGGGTCCGCACCTGGCCAACCCCGAGGTCCATACCTGACGGCCAGCCCCGGGGTCCGCACCTGGCCAGCCTCGGGGTCCGCACCTGGCCAACCCCGAGGTCCATACCTGACGGCCAACCCCGGGGTCCGCACCTGGCCAGCCTCGGGGTCCGCACCTGGCCAGTCAGTGTCTATACCTGGCAGCGAGCTCCGCCAGCTCCCGGTCGCGCTGCTCCACGCAGGCGGCCATCTCGCCACTAGCCGTCTGCTCCAGCGTCAGCATGGCGTCCAGCGCCGCCGAGCGCACCACCTGGCCGTATATGTCGGCGCACAGCTCCTCTGTACTGGTGGTGTTCGGCCCGGCGTATGCCAGCACCTCCTGCAGGAGGCATACAACTATTGTTGATCTTGCAATTGTGATGAGCAACCCTGGCAGGGCCATCTTTCATTGCAGGCAGAAAACTTCATTGCAAAACATGATGTGATATAGCTGCAAGCACATGAACAAAAATTGGTATGGAAAAACAAAAATACAACCTATACACACTGGCTATGACTACAATAAAAACAAATGCAGGCTTTTAGATACGGATTCAAACTATCCATCTTGTCTGAGGCTGGATAAAAGATCAATCCGCACGACGCACATCACACCATCCATGCCCTAATCCTGTCATCTATCACTGCTAAAACAGTCATGTTTCACACCTTGGTATGCAGGTCTTGTATTGATTTGGCCAGGCTTTCTATGGCAGATGCATCATCAGCTATAGTGATTTCTGGAGTGTTCTTTCTCTCAAACTCAGCAGTCTTTTCATGAATAAAATCCCCCAGGTGCTGCCTGAGCTCTGAGGAAAAGGGAAATGTATGTTAACTGCAGTGAACTGCACAAATTGCAGATATTAAATGATAATACTCCTAAGGATAAACAACCATTGTGCTCAAAAACTTCACATTTATGTCTCCAGCTAACACAAAGCAACTGCATTACTACCTTTTTGATTAAATTATGTGATGTCATGTCATAGCATGCTTGAAAGTATCTTATTTTTTATACTAGACATGAGTGGTCCATGAGCCATGTTAAGGCTTGTGCTTTGGGAAGATACTGTGAGGCAATCAATGAACACCTCACAAAAAATACCACTTGTGCCAGGCAAAGACATTGCTGCTGTCCATTTCTTTTCCTTTTTTCATTGTGCCCACTTCCCAATCAGAACATGGTACATGATTTTGCAGATGAGCATTTTTCATAGTAAAACTATGATTTCCAATCTCAATCCACAAGACTGGGGCCTACCAGCTGTCAACTTGATGCCACAATGGCAGGCAGAAGGCACAGCACTTCAATCAGGCCTGGCCAAAATGTCATAAAAAGTCTGACAAAGCACAATTAATCATATCCTGCACTTCACAAACATTTGGTGAGTAGGTACCTATATTTCCCACAGGCAATGGAAAGCAAGACCAGTGCATGCATTACAAAAGCTAAAACCTTCAAGAACAGTACCAATTCTTGATACATATCCCTACTGTAACATTGGGTGCTCAGCACACAAAGAAATGGAACCACACTCATATATGTTTTCCTCAATATAACCCAGTGATGGCAGGCTTGCATGCATCATACCTGGAAGAATATATGAAGGCAGGCTCTTCAGCTTGGATATCCTGCACACCTGTTCATCCAAGGAATAGTGGCATGGTATAGAAACATTGGTAGACAAGCTGCAGTTAACTGTACCAGTAGAAAACTCAAAATTAAAAAGATAGTCTTGATGATGCATCACAGCTGTTCACTTGTAACAGATCACTTAGCTCCCTGGCACAACAGGATCACCAATCAGCTGATGGCTGGTCATCAATGAGCATCTGGAAATAGGAAAAAGGTGACAAGGTATATTGACCGCAAAATAGGGCTGCATAAATATGTCCAATTCTGTCTTTCATTTTTTAGCAAAACAAACATCATCGCTTCAAGTATAAAATCATGGGAAACACCGTGGTGGTATGGCATGCAGAACAGGGAGCACCGTTCAGTGAACATTTCAATGAATGCTTGCGTGGCTGCTGGCACATCCACTTTGTTACAATCACTGCCCATAAATACGACATACCACAACACAAAACTCAGCACCTGATGCATGTTCACCCGTAAAGAACAAAATATATTGCATCCAGATGAATGAAACTGATCATAATCCAGTCTAAACAAAGCCAAGCGACCTTGCAGGGTCGGCGTATTTTCAGACAACCACATGCAAGGGAAAACTGGTGGCAACCCTAACCAGGTTAAGCACCCCACCGCCTAACCCGCTCCAAAATGGCCCACGTTGACCAAAAATGATACACGTCTGCAGTTTGAAACACTTCTTGAGGCAAAAAGAAGCAAATCTGATTATTTTGTCTTCATAAACCAGTGTTACGTCAAGATTTTATCGCCCTGTTCCGCGGTGGGCGAGTAACAACAACCAATGCAAGCAGTTTTTGCATTCGTACGTTTCAACTCGGCATCCAAATAACGGCGACCCCGCTCGCCCAGGGCCTCAACCTTGACAGACCATCCCCTTCCGCGGCAGCGAGCACGGCTGTCTTCCACCGCGGTGCTGTTTAGTGCTGCCACCTTGCCGGCCACGGGCATCGAAATCACTAGTTATGTCGTTCCCTACGAGATGTCGCGGAATGCAAAACCAAGCCAAGGACACGCGACACAACCAAGCCTGAAGCCACTTTTTCAAATTTTGGCTCACCAGGTTGCGGTTAGCACTCCAATGAGGTGTTCTGGATCTCTCTGGATCCACCCATGATCTACCTTTGATCATAGCAAACGTTGGATTCAATAGGTGTCGATTAGGTGTCAATAGGTGTCGATCCTACTGAGTCGATTTCCGTACACCACACACTGCAATGAACCTGATGATTATTTATTATGGGTACAATGCAAAATCAAATCACAACAAAAGATGCGCAGCCTTCTGTTTCTCTGTACTCGTCAACGGTTTGCATGCTCTCAATTTAAGCTGTCCAAATGTCCAGGAATAGGGTGACTGTTCTGCGTCAGCGTGGCTGCTATCAGCACCGGAGAGTGGGCGGCGTCTTAAATATGATGGTCGTTATTACGGGACCTTGATTGTGGCAGGTGACAAAAGTCTCCATACCCCACATGTTCTTTTCTGCTCCTCAGAGCTATCTTCTCGTGGGCCGCCAAACTGCCACCCATTCAGCTCTTTGTCACAAAATTGTCACTGCCGTGTCTCTAATTAGAGGTTGTCACGCCGCTAATTAGACAGTACGAGTGGGAAGACGACACGAATGCTAACAATATGTATCCCAAAGACAGGCGACGGCGGACCCTTAACTTCATGCGCGGAATATGGGTCAATGAAAGTAAATGTATATATATATATATATATATATATATATATATATATATATATATCAGTTCAAAATACCTTTGCCTTTTAGTGGCTTCAACGTACGTCGTTCTCCAAGAGCGGAAAGCGGGGCTCCCAAACCAATCACGCACAAGACCGGCTCATCCTAAATAAGTTCAATAGCCACCATAGAAGGGGGAATCACGGAAAATCTACACACATGCAATTTTGTTTCGTTAGGCTAGGCAATACGGAAAACGTGTTCGACGAGGATCGTCATTTAAGATCACAATTTATTGCATATATGTGAGGTAAAAGCTGGGTTGCGCTGGGTGCCGCGCCGTTACATTGTTTTATCATTATGCGTACGTACTATGAGGTAAGAAGCACGAGGTACGAGACCAGAAGAGCCCAGTAGCGAATCCGCTCCCGCCAGATTTGCGTACCTAATGGCAATTTAATCACGAAGTCCAGCACAAGGTCGGTTAACGCAAGAGCACTGCCACCTGGCGGCGATTCGAGAGTGTGGGGGAGACGGTGTGTTAACAAGTAACTGGTAATATACCGAAGATTCCGTGTAAGAGCAGCGTACACAACCCATACGTGGTCTGACGTAAGCAGGACGTTACAATTCTGCGGTGCAGAGCGACTGAATAGGTGGCGGTGGGTGAGGTGAGTGTGGTCACATCTCAAACGCACCGAGACCACTTATCTCTGCCTGCTCTCCTGTTGACGTGTCGCCCATGGTTGGAGTATGGGTTTGATTCGATACATGCGGCTAGCACGCGAAATATCCCACTGATTCTGCAAATACCAAGCGGAGCGGATTTTATTAAAATGAAAAAGCATCACTCCATGCCAGAGGCGCTTCAAAGGGAGTTGGTAGACGGCCACCTTCGTTCTTAAGGGTGTCAGCGAAGACATTTTCCGCGATACCACAATGCTCCGGTATCCACAGAAAGGTTGAAAAAAGAAAGAACGTTGGTCGGTGGGTAGCGAAAGCATTATTATATAGATGTCACACACTCCCGGCTGGTTGAAATCATCGAGTCGCTGAAGGGCCTGCAGCGCTGCCTTGGAGTCGGTGAATATCTAGCTTGAGGAATAAATATGGCTCTCATATGCAACAACACTTGTTTTAGAACGTATACTTCCACAAAGAACACCGTGCTGAAGTCTGGGAGATGCCCGGTGAACAGAAAGCCCACACCGACGGCTGCTGCACAAACTTGCTCGTCATGTTCGTTATCGGCAGCCTGCCTGTGTCGTCCCCAAACTCCTCACCCGTGCCGGGCATTCGGCTCCCGTCTGAGCCTTTCTGCGGGTTCCGGCGCCGTAGGCACCGCACGTGCCAGGGCGTGCCGTTGACCTCAACCACCTGGTCCGACGCGACCCGTGTAGTTACATCCTTGCGCGACACATCGGTACACCGCGTGGCGGGCCCCCGGCGCCGCATCCACACCACATCCCCGACGCAAAACGACGATGAGACGGGCTCCTGCATCAGCGGCGGTGCGGGCTCGGCAGCGCGCTGGCCGGTCGGCAGGTCGGCACCGACTGCGCGGAATACCTGCGCCATCGGCGCGCTCAGCGAGTTAGCACTGTCCCGCGGAGTCGCATTGTACCGGTGCACCGCTTAACTGGCGAAGCACCGTTGGCGGACGACCATCACTTTTAAAGTTCGGTGGTGGCGCTGCACGATTCCGTTGCCGCCGGCCTCGTGCGCCGCGCGAAACCGCAGCCGAACCCCCACTTCGCGGCGAATGCAGCCATTCGCCGGCTCCGGAATTCAGTGTCATTGTCCAGCAGAAGCTCAGCCGGCGTGCCGCGTTCTAGGAACACTCGATGCAGATGATCCGTCACTTCTGCCGCGTCAGACCGTTGCAGTGCGCTCCAAATGCTGTACCGGGACGGACCGCAGTCTACGATCATGAGGTAGAGGCGGCCTTGGCAATGGGTCACGTCGATTGCGAGTCGGGTTCATGTTGTCGGGACGCCGAGTGAGCCGGCCGCCAGTGAGTCGGCATCGGGTCAATCGAACGGCACACATCGCACTGCCTGACGACGTCTCGCACGTCGGCCCGTGCGACACGTCCGCCGAGGTCCCGTCTGGCATACGACAGGGACCGGCGGATCCCCTGGTGCTCCGTCCGTTCGTGTATGCTTTTAATCCGGGAACGAACGCCGATTGCTGTGGGCTCGTGAGCGGCTTCTTGGCCCGCCGGGAGCGCCGCGACTTCTTCCGGCCCGATCGTCGCGGAGACCGAAGTCGCATCTCGCAGGGGTGCCGTGAAACATTTTGGTGCGGCGGCTGCTGCGACTGAAGTCGCATCTCGAGGCTCTGCTCGCAGCCAGGTCGTGGGAACTCGGGTGAGCGCGTCGGCAGGATCGTCTTGTGCCCGCGCCAGCTGGACGGTCACCAAGAGCTGGAACTTGCCGACCACCTGTCGCATGAGGCCAATCCTGCGTCTGATCAGCATCTCCCCCTGCGCCTTTGTTCTGAGACGAGAGCATCCGCCTAAGGCGTCACTCAGCCACTTGAACACTGTGGCCGAGTCCGTGCGTAAGCTGAAGTGCTGAACGCACCATACCAGGGCCATGTTCACATCACTCATTGCCGCGTCCAACTCGGCCATGCTGATGTGGTCCACCGGCTTGGACTCTGGCCGGAGCCACGCGGCATCCTCGAGAACGCCGCCCTCCGTATACTCCAGGACTACCCCGTGCACGATGGCGCTCGCGTCAGTCCACACCACGAGCTCCCGGCCGACCATTCGCCACGGCCCACGAGCAGGGTCAGCTGCCCTCACCCGCGTAACGACTTCCCGGATATGCGCGCGCAACGCATCATCTGACACTGGGCCGCCCCACCCGATCGTCATGGCCGTTCACTCGCCTCTTTAGGCAGGCAGCTGCTGGTCGCAACCATCCCGCCACGGGGAGGTGCGCCACCATCTGCCCGCACCATGCAAACATTGCACGCCGGGTGAGCTCGGTCAGCGGTAGAGGCATCTCATTGTCTCGACACCACCGCAGCCCATCATCCCGAGCCTCGACTCGAAGGCCGAGCATTCGCGCTCCGTCCGCGACGCGCTCCGGCGGCTTGCAGGCCAGCCCGTATCCTCGCAAAGTGCTCCACCACCTTGGCGGCGCTGACCACGTCTTCGTCGACGAGCAGGTCGTGCACATGGGCGAGCACTCCCCGGCTGATCGCCTCGTTCTCACGCAGCACCGCCTGAACAACAGCCTTCATAATCAACGGCGCCACATTGACGCCGAATCCGAGCCGCGTAAGGCTCGGATTCGGTGCGGATTCGGTGCGGCCCTTGACCTGCACCGTCTGACACGGCCACAGCCGGCGCTCCAGCCACAGCTGCAAGTACGCTGTTTGCAGGTCGACCACGGCCAACCGGGCACCATGCTGGCGCCAGCGGCGCAACTGCTCGGCGCACACGTCGGCATCCGCGGTGTGCGCGGTCACATGTCGGTTGAGCTCGTGGTAGCCCAACACTGGCCTGACCTTCCCCTTGTGCGGCTGTTGAACTGCCTCAAGGGAATCAGGCCCCGAGCGGGCCCGTCCCTTTGCTCGTCATAGGGCCGGAGCCATCTTTTCGCCACCCAGTCAGCCAACTCGCGCTCGTAGGCCTCCCGTGCTTCAGCCGGCACAGCATACTCACTCACGGTGTTCCGCAGACGTTCGGGACAACGTCCGTGCGCCCACTTCCACGCCACAATCCAGTGAACGCCATCGAACCGAGCCGTGAGATCCGCCGCTTCCAAAGCCAGTGAGCCTCGCGTGCTGCTGCCCGGCGCCGCCGCGCCGCATGCCGGCTCGCCACTTGCCGACTCCGGCGCCTCCTGCGTTGCCGCACCCAGCTGCATGTCAATCGGGGACCAAACAATGATGCCTCCTTACACGGTAATGCCGGACATGCCGATCAGCACGTCCCACCCCAATGGACGATCCGGGACCACCAGCACCGCGAGCATTACTCACTTGCCTCTGTAGCCGAACGTCACCTGGGCGGTGCCCACGCACCGCAACACTCCGTCGTTCTCCGTTCGCTTCTTGACCACGCACGGGCGCCACGTGCTGCAGCAGCTCACGTGAACCAGGGTGCCCGTACATCCCCTGTCAAGTAGGGCACGCCGGGGGCGCTGGTCCACCAGCAGT